ACACACACACACACACACACACACACACAATCATCAATAACTGCAAACCTGCGCTATCACACTGACACTGGCACATTCAGACATATATTTATTTCCCGACCCTCTATCTTTAATCTGAGAATCATTCATCTTTAGAGGCTGATCTATTTGTGCTGCTGCAGCACTGGGAGCCGGTTATGAGAGCTGCGAACGCTGTTATATTTCTGCCAAGGAGATCAATGTGTGCGTCTGAAAGCGTTCACACTCCCGGAGGAGCTCCGCTGTGTTTGAACCTTCAGTGTATTTCAGCTACTCTTGTGTGGTTGTGGCCATTTTAGCACACATAGAGTGGGTCACATCAATAATGACTGAAATTAAAGTTTGGAGCCAATGAACTGCTGATTTAGGTTTTAAGGTCCAACAGATTTGTTAAAGGAGCAGTTTGCCCATAAATTAAAATCGGCTGAACATTTCCTCACCCTCAGGTCATCCTAGATGTACATGAGTTTGTTTCTTCGTCAGGTTTGTAGAAATGTAGCATTGCATCAGTGTCTCAGCAATGGATGCTCTGCAGTGAATGGGTGCCGTCAGAATGAGAGTCCAAACAGCTGATAAAAACATCACAATAATCCACAAGTAATCCACAGCACTCCAGTCCATCAGTGCGTTTAAACAGCTCTAAACTAATATGTGGCTGGATTTTGATGAGAGAGACAACAGCAGATGGACTTTTTCACTGGAGGAAGCGTTATTATGGATTATGTATTTTAGTTAAAAAGGTCTTAATGCTGGATTTGTTTCAGTTTTTGTCTTCTCCAGATGTTAACTGATGGACTGGAGTGCTGTGGATTACTTGTGGATTATTGTGGTGTTTTTATCAGCTGTTTGGACTCTCATTCTGACGGCACCCATTCACTGCAGAGCATCCATTGCTGAGACACTGATGCAGTGCTACATTTCTACAAACCTGATGAAGAAACAAACTCATCTGTATCTTGGATGACCTGAGGATGAGCACATTTCCATCAGATTTTCATTGTTGTCTGAACTATTCCTTTAATCTACCTTTAAGCTAAAGCCAGGATTGCGAATGCAGTGTAAATATAGTCCCGGTTATTCTTAAACAAGGATTGCAGCAACTGATTTTGCATCAAGACTCACATTTTACTCTTCTGTAGAGTGGGGAGCAACTGAATTAGCATATAAACCTTGATTTGATACAAGTTACTCAATCCTCATTGGTCTAATTCACCCACATAGATGGTTTTTTGTGTGTGTGTCAAACCATGATTCATAACCACAGCACATAAAAACAAACACTTTATTTCAGGCTGTCTTTGCGTCATTGCTCTTGCAGATAGATGGTGCTCACTGGATTTTTAGCAGCGGTGAAGCCCATTATGTGTGTGTGTGTGTGTGTGTGTGTGTGTGTGTGTGTGACACTCTTTTACTCCTCTGGGAACAGGTCTATTTCCCATGTTTTTTTTTAAGGCCTAAGGGTTTTATGTATATATATATATATATATATACATGTATATATATATATAAATGCTTTCATAACCATTTATAAAGTTCTCATTCAAGTGAAATATTGTTTAGATATTTATAAATGCACTTGTGTGCATGCATAAACATGCAAATCATCAGCATGCACAGGCGAGTATTTCATTAAAAATTAACATCACCATCTGGAGGAGTGTGAAGATGAAACTTTGAAAATAGATTTGGACTCTAATCCATCTGCGTCACTTTGTGATAAACATTTAGAATAACAAGAGGAAAACTTGTATGAACTTACCCCGATGATGACAGTGTCATCTCCTTGAAATGTGGGGATATATTTGTCCCCTCGGAGGGTTTCGGAGTGGTTCAGGGGTCTGAAGCGACACAAAACCCTGATGTTGCATTCTGCGCTGACATCAGCCATCCTGCGATGCTGCACTAAAGCCGCCTTCAGACACAACAATGCGTTTCTCTTCTGATCTGTGAATAATTCGCGCGGTCCTCTGTAGATGAATGGCGTTTATAGATAGGCGAAACAATCAGGAAGAATGATCCAAATGAATCTGCTGCGAATCAAAGCATCGTCGTTAAAGCCTGCGAGGCGAGCGGAGGATAGTAAAGTAACGAGTGCTTCTGTGAATCGCTCTCTCGAGGTTGTGTTGTGAGCGTTAGTGCTGCAGAAGAGCAGCGTGATGCTGCAGGGATACGGAGACACACGCGCTTGGCACCGCGGCGCTCTGATTGGCCGGTATTTGACAGGGGGCGGGGCGTGTGCTGTGCTGACTCTCGCATCAGCACCGCTGCTTAGCATTTCAGACAAAAATGAGAAGTCACAAAATGAGAAGAGCACCAAGAAATCTTTGTGTATTATTACTGATCCTTAAACCCTTTCAAAATCGGCAAAGAAAAACATAAGGCAGCCTCAGGTGGTTTGCTGGTCTTTGCTGGTTTACAGTGAACTGGCTGGTTTCCCAACCTGACCAGCTGACAACTGCTCCAAATCCTTCTAAGCAGACCGGCCAGGACACATAGTTAAATAATAATAATAACAATAACAATAATAACAATTATAATAACAACAACAACAATAATAATAATAATAATGATGATGATGATAATAACAACAACTATAATAATAACGATAATAACAACAACAATAATAATAATAATAATAATAATGATAATAATTATAACAACAACAACAATAATAATAATAATAATAATAGCGATAATAATAATAATAGTTTTATTATTATAATTATTATCGTTATTATTATTATGATGATGATAATGATGATAATAATTATAAAAAAATTAATAATAATAATAATAACGACAATAACAACAACAATAACAACAATAATAATAATAATACTAATACTAATACTAATAATAATAATAATAATAACGATAATAACAACAACAATAATAATAATAATAATAATAATGATAATAATTATAACAACAACAACAATAATAATAATAATAATAATAGCGATAATAATAATAATAGTTTTATTATTATAATTATTATCGTTATTATTATTATGATGATGATGATGATGATGATGATAACAATTATTATTATAACAATAATAGTACTACTACTACTACTACTACTAATAATAAAAATTAATATTAATATTCTTAAAGAATATTTCTTCAAGAAAGCTTTGTATATTGGGTGTTGCATTATTACTCATAAACCTTTTAAAAATGTGCAGAGAGAAAAACATAAGGTGGTTTGCTGGTCTTTGCTGGTTTACATTGAACTGGATGACAACTGCTCCAAATCCTTCTAAACAGACCGGCCAGGACACAACGATAAACATAAAATAAAATAAAATAAATATTACTTTTAAATAATAATAATAACGATAGTAATGTATTACCTAATTTATTACATTTAAATATATAATAGTTAAAAAATAAATACAAATAAAATATTGCAATATATAAAAGCATATAACATAAATTAATTTGAACGTAAGAATTTATTCATTTAAATAAAATTTTAATTTAAATTAATTTGAATTTTAGAGAGTAAGGAAAGTAAGTAAGAAAGAAAGAAAGTTGGAGCCATTTCCTAGATATATTTCATAAACGCCCGATGTCCTAATCCTCGCGAGATTGCGCGAGGTTTTGTTAGTGTGTGACGTCACAGCTGTCACTGTGGCAGGCGGCCTGTATGTGTTGTGTTCGCTCTCGACTCATCAGCTTCTCAAACCGGTTATATCTCCGTTCAAACGGCAGTAAAGAAACACACATTGCATAAAGAATCACATTAAACTGCTTTCCCCAGCTTGCTGCAATGGCCGACCCGAAGTATGCAAACCTGCCGGGCATCGTAAGTGATTCATTCAGACCTTAAACAACAATAACAGTGCGGTATATTAGCATTAGCATTAGCCGCGGCTAACGGTCTGAGGTGATTCAAAGCGAAACATTCATATAAATTCATATCTATAGACTAATCAAGTGTACTGAGTAAATATAATTTGTACAAGGGGTTTAAAAGTAATTGGGCTATTGAGATGTAGTATTATTTCAGTTTCTTGAGAGGAGTGTTAGCTCATGTTTGTAACGGACGCTCGTCAAACATAACACACACAACTTATAAATATTGCCTAAATGACTATTTTCCCGGCTTAGTTGCTTGTATGCTGTGTAAAGGGGCTGTTGCACACCTTTATTTTGCAGGCAGGATTGTAAGAAATAGATGTTTGTGAAGGGCGTTGGCCAGTGGTGTAATATAATGCCAGTATTTTAATATGTCATGTTATTATTGCAGGCGTTTATTTGACTTGTGTCTTATGTCAGTCTGTGTTGTTTACATGACCGCCGTAGACTTACACTTTTGCTCAATCAGTATGGATTTTCAATTTTGGTTTTTACATGTAGTCCCCCTGATCTTTACATTTACATGCATAAATATTTTTATTCTAGCAATGAATTTTAGTCTGTGTTTGTCTATTTTTCAGGTATGTTAGACACACACACACACACACACACACACACAGAGTCAGGCATTATAAATCATTTCTTTACTGTTTGGCAGGTAAAGTTGGAGGCTAAACTCGACTAGACTAAAGATTAACAATGTACCATCAAGAATTCAGAGTTTCCCCACTTGTAAATATTGTTTTATGTTCTGAGTGGTTGCTATAGGGTTGCTGGGGTGTTCTGCTTGGTTGCTATGGAGTTGCTAGGGTGTTCTGCCTGGTTGCTATGGAGTTGCTACATTATGTATCCTGTTTGGCGTAAAAAGAGTCCCCCCTCACTGCAACTTGAGGATCTTATAGAATTCTCGATTCCCACTTGTAAATATTGTTCTGTGTTCTGAGTGGTTGCTATGGGGTTGCTAGGGTGTTCTGAATAGCTGCTAGGGTGTTTTATGTGGTTGCTATGGTGTTCTGCGTGGTTGCTATGGAGTTGTTTTTTTCTCCTTTCTGACATGAGTGCAATGCATCAATGCAAACCTCAATGCAACTTGCATATCTTCTAGAATTCTGAGCTTCCTACTTGTAATTATTGTTTTGTGTTCTGAGTGGTTTTTATGGAGTTGCTAGGGTGTTCTCATTGGTTGCTAGGTGTTTTCTCCGGTCTAGATTGAAAATAGTTCCCCCTCTACTGCACCTTTAAGTACCTTCTAGAGTTGAGTTTGACACTTGTAAATATTCTGTTTTCTGAGTATATATATATATATATAAATTTTTCTGTGAGTCTTAAGAAGGGCTTAAATGAGAGCAGAATATCTTACATTCATAAAGTCATGGCATTAAATGTTGCTTGCGCTGTAAAAAATGAATATCTTTCTCAGTGTTTTTGTTTTCAAATGCAAATATCCAAACATCCTTAAATCAAGATACATTTGCTTAAGAAACAAATGTAAATTCTTGAAAAATGTAACAAAATGAAGTGAGTTTATGCTTAAAACGAGAACAAATATCTCGTTAACTATAACTTTTTTCCCTTTGCGTTAAGTTGATTTTTCATTGCCATTGGCAGATATTTGTTATTTTCTCCCTTCATTATGACCAGTTTCTCATAAAACAAGTTTTCTTATTTTAGGTCATTTGCTTCTCAAGTAAATGTATCTTGATTTAAGAATCTTTAGACATTTAAACTGGAAAACAAGGCAAAAATACTGATAAAGAGCAACACTTTTTGCAGTGTGATGAGAAGGTACAATTATAAATGTATAAATATGTATCTGTTTTCTCTTGAGATTTTATGTCTGTTGTGTTTTTGTTCTCACATTTTATTGACATGACATAATATAATTGAAATGACATCATCATTATTGAAATGACATCATTTCCTCCCAGGCCTCCAATGAGCCTGATGTCTATGAGACGAGTGATCTGCCCGAGGATGATCAGGCGCAGTTTGAGTCGGTGAGTATCTGTGTGTGTGTGTGACTCATATTTGAGCTAATTATACCTTCCCTCCTCATTCACTAACCCACCATCACTGTCTGACCCACTCCGGATGCTAGTTTGTGCAAGTAAGACGTCATTGTTTTCTAACGCAGTAACTGCATGGGTTGAAATCTTCCTGCCTTTCGAATGTTTTCTAATCAGGGACAGTCGTACGATTAGCATTGGGGTGTTTTTTGATTTATTTGAACTAGAGATGTAACGGTATGAAAGTTTCTTATAACGATTATAGTGACCTAAATTATCACGGTTATCAGTATTATAACGGTATTGTTAAAATGTGCTGGAAATGTCGTATATTAATTTGTATAATACCCTTGGCACTCTTTTAAAACCTCTCAGCTTTTGTGCCATGTTTTCACACAAAACGAAACTACTCTGTGTGCTGTGCGCACCTGAGACTGTTACTGAAACCTGTGCTTTATGCTGCACTGTATTTATTATTTATCCTCCGTTGTTCAAATCGCGGTAATCGAATACGGTTCTAATGATAGTTAAAATATGAAACGGTTATACTTACAGTGGAGAATTTTATCATGATTTATCGTCAAACCGGTAATCGTTCCATCCCTAATTTGAACTATAAACGGGTTTTTTTATACCTAGTTTAGCCTGTGTGTGTGTCATATTACATTATGACAAAAGTCTGAACTGGTAAAGTGTGGTACAGGTTTTAACCTGCTAGACATAGTTATGAAACTATGATGAATAATCTCGATTAGGGCTGTGCGATATTGAAGAAAAATGCGATATGCGATACCTTGTTAAAAAAATGCGATATTCGATATGCTTAAAGTGTGTAAAATCAATTTCATGTTCTGCTTGGTTGCTATGGAGTTGCTAGGGTGTTCTGCCTGGTTGCTATGGAGTTGCTACATTATGTATCCTGTTTGGCGTAAAAAGAGTCCCCCCTCACTGCAACTTGAGGATCTTATAGAATTCTCGATTCCCACTTGTAAATATTGTTCTGTGTTCTGAGTGGTTGCTATGGGGTTGCTAGGGTGTTCTGAATAGCTGCTAGGGTGTTTTATGTGGTTGCTATGGTGTTCTGCGTGGTTGCTATGGAGTTGTTTTTTTCTCCTTTCTGACATGAGTGCAATGCATCAATGCAAACCTCAATGCAACTTGCATATCTTCTAGAATTCTGAGCTTCCTACTTGTAATTATTGTTTTGTGTTCTGAGTGGTTTTTATGGAGTTGCTAGGGTGTTCTCATTGGTTGCTAGGTGTTTTCTCCGGTCTAGATTGAAAATAGTTCCCCCTCTACTGCACCTTTAAGTACCTTCTAGAGTTGAGTTTGACACTTGTAAATATTCTGTTTTCTGAGTATATATATATATATATAAATTTTTCTGTGAGTCTTAAGAAGGGCTTAAATGAGAGCAGAATATCTTACATTCATAAAGTCATGGCATTAAATGTTGCTTGCGCTGTAAAAAATGAATATCTTTCTCAGTGTTTTTGTTTTCAAATGCAAATATCCAAACATCCTTAAATCAAGATACATTTGCTTAAGAAACAAATGTAAATTCTTGAAAAATGTAACAAAATGAAGTGAGTTTATGCTTAAAACGAGAACAAATATCTCGTTAACTATAACTTTTTTCCCTTTGCGTTAAGTTGATTTTTCATTGCCATTGGCAGATATTTGTTATTTTCTCCCTTCATTATGACCAGTTTCTCATAAAACAAGTTTTCTTATTTTAGGTCATTTGCTTCTCAAGTAAATGTATCTTGATTTAAGAATCTTTAGACATTTAAACTGGAAAACAAGGCAAAAATACTGATAAAGAGCAACACTTTTTGCAGTGTGATGAGAAGGTACAATTATAAATGTATAAATATGTATCTGTTTTCTCTTGAGATTTTATGTCTGTTGTGTTTTTGTTCTCACATTTTATTGACATGACATAATATAATTGAAATGACATCATCATTATTGAAATGACATCATTTCCTCCCAGGCCTCCAATGAGCCTGATGTCTATGAGACGAGTGATCTGCCCGAGGATGATCAGGCGCAGTTTGAGTCGGTGAGTATCTGTGTGTGTGTGTGACTCATATTTGAGCTAATTATACCTTCCCTCCTCATTCACTAACCCACCATCACTGTCTGACCCACTCCGGATGCTAGTTTGTGCAAGTAAGACGTCATTGTTTTCTAACGCAGTAACTGCATGGGTTGAAATCTTCCTGCCTTTCGAATGTTTTCTAATCAGGGACAGTCGTACGATTAGCATTGGGGTGTTTTTTGATTTATTTGAACTAGAGATGTAACGGTATGAAAGTTTCTTATAACGATTATAGTGACCTAAATTATCACGGTTATCAGTATTATAACGGTATTGTTAAAATGTGCTGGAAATGTCGTATATTAATTTGTATAATACCCTTGGCACTCTTTTAAAACCTCTCAGCTTTTGTGCCATGTTTTCACACAAAACGAAACTACTCTGTGTGCTGTGCGCACCTGAGACTGTTACTGAAACCTGTGCTTTATGCTGCACTGTATTTATTATTTATCCTCCGTTGTTCAAATCGCGGTAATCGAATACGGTTCTAATGATAGTTAAAATATGAAACGGTTATACTTACAGTGGAGAATTTTATCATGATTTATCGTCAAACCGGTAATCGTTCCATCCCTAATTTGAACTATAAACGGGTTTTTTTATACCTAGTTTAGCCTGTGTGTGTGTCATATTACATTATGACAAAAGTCTGAACTGGTAAAGTGTGGTACAGGTTTTAACCTGCTAGACATAGTTATGAAACTATGATGAATAATCTCGATTAGGGCTGTGCGATATTGAAGAAAAATGCGATATGCGATACCTTGTTAAAAAAATGCGATATTCGATATGCTTAAAGTGTGTAAAATCAATTTCAATTATATTTTAAAATATTTAAAAATGAAAATTATATAACCAATTTGTTTCACATTCTTTCTTGGAAAAGAAAGAATCACTACAACTTCTGAAAGTGACCAGCAGTGTTTTAGCATTACATAAAAAGTAATGTCACAAATCAGAAAATGTAATTGAACATCAATAGGGCCTTTCGCACCGCTTTAGTTCCAGAACTAAATGTACAGTACTAAAGTACTTGATTTAAGTAGCCTATTATTAAAATGATTCAGATATCGCACGTCCTTGCGATATGCATATTGCAATATTTACATTTGCGATATTTCGATAATTTCGATATATCGTGCAGCCCTAATCTCGATGACTGGTTTACTGCAGTGATTTTTATGGTAGTTACTTTGGTTATAGTATATGGCTCATGTTAATAACATGAACAGAACTGTATTAATTATTTCTAAATTTAATGTGTAAACTTGAAGCTGTTTGTAAGTTTTAACACTAATGACCTGAGAAAGGATGTGGAGTGACGTTTAGCTGTTTCACTGTGTGTTTTAAGGAACAAATGGTGGTAAATTTGACAGTTTGACAGAAGTAAATTGTGTGTGTGTTTCACTTCCTTCTAGGGCTGCACAGTTTGTGAGAAAAAACAAGCAATTTTTCTGATGAAAATTGTGATTTAAAAGGCACAAGTTTTGCTGTGCTTGTTTGTATGGCTGAATAATTTAGCCAAAATTGTTGTGAATATCAAGGCTGTTATAGTTAATTAAAGCTAAAACCATAGAAAACATTTTTGTTACTTAAAATAGAATAAACATTAACTGAAAGAAAATAAAATATAAAAAATAAACAGTTTAGGCTTATTCGACCGCAAGTGCCCTGCGAAGTGGACTTCACATGAAATTCCGCCATGATTCCAGTTCCAAGGGAACGTACACGTTACATTCAAAGGGCATTAAAGTGCGCGAGACGTGAATTTATATTGTATTTATTTACAGAGGTATATTATGTCACACTTCTCTAGTAAGTTTTGTCTGTGTGTGACGACAGTAGCGCAAATCCGTGAATGAATGCTCCGAAGTGAAATAAACTTCAACGGATTAAAGTTGAATAAACTTCAACTTAACTGTTCAGTGCACTGATGTCAGACTCATTTTGGATTTAATAATCAATATATCTTTTATATTTTAATATATTTTTTATTTATTTATTTTTTACTGTAGGGAGCTTCTCTTTTAAGAACAGCTGGTTTTATAAGCGCTTCTCAACACAAGTGTGGGAAAGATGCTTCACACATATTGCGCTCACAAATCCCAAGTGACCCAAACTCAGTGCATATTTTTTTTGTGCATAAATATTTATTTAATTAAAATGCAGAATTTGGGTTTTGATAATCACACTAAGCCATATGATGGTTCTGGTTTAATTACTGTTAATTGTGCACCCCTTCTGCCTTCAGTCTCTCTGTATGTGTGTACCTCTGGATGCTGCATCGATCCTCTTATCCTTCTTATTCCTGAAGTGATGAAGTCTGTGTCACAAGCTGTAGACTAACATCTGCTCTCGCCGCAGAACAGCACGACTAACGTTTGACACGAGTTCACGTGACTCTGCTATTTTGTGTGAAACTCTGGGTAATCTTTCTCGCAGCTGGAGATCACATTAGCTACTGACCTGTGAGCGGTTTCACATTAATAACATGATCAGATGTAGCGGTGCACAGGCATTATTCAGTATCAGCTGTAGAAACAGAGGCCTGCGGCTCTAATTAACAGACTCTGATGAAATAAACAAGCAATCTCACAACACAGCGCTCTGTTCTCCTCTCCCTCCAGCTCCTGTTGTGCATGTCATATGATAACTACATTAATATCTCTCTCTCTTTTTCTCTTCCTCACTCTCTTCTGTTTTTCTCTTTTGCTCTAACTGTCTTTGGGGACCCAAGGAGCTGGTAAGAGTTTCTGATTCCCCTTTAACACCCAGTGACTCCTCTAAACCAATCAGAGTCTGATCGTGAGCTTTGCATGTGCGTCTGTGAACTCACACGCGTCTGGAGCGTTAATGTGAACGGCTAAAGCGCGCTGTAAAGGCCAGTCTGTCAGATAAGAGTTTTCATCAGCCGCTTAGAAGGATTTTGCGCATTGATGTCAGTTATTATCATAGAAAATGATTTCAACATGTCCTTCAGTTTGAAAAAAAAACACACACAAACAAACAGAGTGCTGACAGAAATACTGTCCAGTGGTAAAATGCTCCATAAATGTCAATTGTTGCACATAAGGGTCAATCAAAATAATTTTCATTGGTATTTACATTTAGTCATTTAGCAGACGCTTTTATCCAAATATTTATTATTTAAAAACATTATATTTAAAAGAAAAATACTGTATACTGTATGCATAAAATATAAAATAATATTATATTAAAATATTAAATTTAATAAAACATTTTGTATACATAAAATGTCAAATAATATATAATAAAATTATATTTTGTAGACATGAATATATTTATTGTTTATTAACATATTTTTGCTAATATTTATATAATACTAATACTTAAATTATGCTTAATATATTTATGCTACTTTATTAAGAGCAAGACTTTTATATTAAAAGATACTTATACTCTAAATAAATAAATATTGTATATATTATTGCACAGTGCAATTTATTTACACCTATTATTATTATGTATATAACAAGTTATTATATTATTAAAATATTTATATAACAGTTAAAATATGTGTGCATACTTTGTCGATAATATAAGTAAGGTATACTATTATATTATTAATATTTTATGTATAAAATATTATATAAAAATTACATAATAGTATAGCATACTAGTATACGCACACTTATGGCTCTCAAAACGGCTGCTGTTTTATCACTAGTGCAGACTAGTGTTAACTGTGATGCTTGTAGACCTCCTGAAACATTTGACGTGAACGTTATAATGTAAAATGTAGAAGATTAAATTAGTGTTTGATTTGTAATGCTTCAGCATCATCTCTAGTGCGCTGTCGTGTCCTCAACTCAATGCTCGATGCTCCAAAATGAAAAAGTCTGTACATTTACTGTCCTGTAAGTGGCAAGCTGTACTCTAAACGCTGCTGAAAATGCTGACAATCCCAGCCAATTAATGCAGAAGTAGTGCTGGGCGGTATACCGGTTCATACTGAATACCGGTGTTTATTTTTGTTATGATATGAATTTTTAAAATACCGTATGTCGCTTAAACAACGTTCGGAACGCGACACTGTTTGAGAGGGGTCTCTTTTCACTGTTGCACTGTGGTGAGGGAACAGCTGTATGTGTTACTAAGCGTGAAAGTTCAGAAACTGAAGCTGTAGAACTAATAGAACGTGATGACACAGAAGAACTCATCCACAATATCCACATTGACCAAAAAATACCGTCATGTACCGTGAAACCGGTATAATTTTGAAAAATACCGTGATATACATTTTTGGTCATACCGTCCAGCACTATGCAGAAGAGTGTCCAAATGCTGTGTGAGTTCACCGTACGCTCGCGTTCATCAGATGCTCTGCCTGTGGAAGTGTGTGTTGGTGTTTCTCCAGCGTAATGGCCACAGTAGACACGCAGATTCATAGTGTATAGTTTTCCCTCATAACAAACCTTTAGTGCTGTTTGCTGAATTAGAGTTACACTAAAGAAGGGAATAGAGACACACGGTCCAGTAAGAAACTAGTAACACACTAAACTCCAGTCATAACATTCACAGCACACTAATATAGAGTTTGGCAGAGTCTAGCATATATGTTTTGAGTTTGCTGTTGTATTTTAGATGACGCCCGAGCTTATTAAACACCTGTGCCGTCAGCTTGAATCTCTTCCTGTCATTTATTTTCCCATTGATGTGTGTGTTTGACAGAATAAATGCATGATGGTCTGTGAAATTGTTTATTTCTGAGGGATTAAATTAGTTCTGTGCAGAACCTGAGCTGGACAGACGTTCTCACACGTCACTCTTAAATCAACATAGAGACACGCGTCATAATCTGAAAGCCACGCCCACCACCGGGAAACAATCCAGCCTTCTCCATTGACTTTCTATTGCGGGAAGCTGCTCCTTGTCATTTCTGACTTATAACAAAAAACAGAGCAATGCCTAAAAGCTACTGTGTGACGAGGTGTACAGTAAACAAGCTAAAAAACACAGAACTACGTTTTTATAAGCTGTCGACCCAAAAAACGAGCATTTAAGACAGATAAGTAGAGCACAGCATGTCATGTTACTCTGAGAACTGCGCTCACTGGAGGGAAACGTAATATGTGTCCTTAAACGCTCATTTTGTTTTGGGGTCGACAGCTTATAAAAACATAGTTCTGGGTTTTTTAGCTTATTTACTGTACACCTCGTCACACAGCAGCTTTTAGGCATTGCTCTGTTTTTTGTTATTTATTTATCCAAAGCGACTTACAAATGAGGACAATGGAAGCAATCAAAACCAACAAAAGAGCAATGATATGCAAGTGCTATAACAAGTCTCAGTTAGCTTAAACGCAGCACACGTTGCAAGGTTTTAAAAAAAATATATATATATAATAAATAAAAAGAAAACATAAAATAGAAAAAGAATAGAGCAAGCTAGTGTTAGAGGCCTTTTTTGCTTTTTGTTAATTGTATAATAAATCAAAAGAAAACAGATAGAATACAAAAAGATTAGAGAAGCTAGTGTTAGTTTCTTTTTAAAGAAAACAAGCAGTTAGTAAATAAATAGAGTGCAAGTCTAAGTTTTTGTAAGTTTTTTTTTAAAGAATAGAATTAGAATAGAGAGTGCTAGAGTTAGAGGGTCAAATAAAGATGGAAGAGATGTGTTTTTAGCCGATTCTTGAAGATGGTTGTAAATCAGAAATGACAAGGAGGCAGCCGCAATACAAAGTCAATGGAGAGTGTATGGGCGTGGCCTAAATGTGCTCTGTCTCTATTCCAGTCAGCCACGCCCCTTCTGTGGGAGGGGCCTAACTGCCTCAAAGATTCAACCAATCAGAGCTTCAGAAGTGTCTCCTTTATAATCAGTGAGGCGTCCAGATCTGTTCGTTTCGCCGCTGCATGTGTGTCATGTGTGTGTTTGTGTTTCTCGTGTGATTGGTTTCTGACTCGTCTCGCAGGAGGAGCTGTGTAGCGACAGCGTGGAGCGGATCGTCGTCAATCCCAACGCCGCCTACGACAAGTTCAAAGACAAACACGTCAGCGCCAAGGGTTTGGGTGAGGAGAGTCGTTTCTGATATACCTAACACTGTTGTTTTAGTATCACTGAGTAAATATTATAGATTTGATTCAAATTTGAATAAAGATTTTTATGTATTTTTTGTTTTAATTTCAATTAGTGCTGTCAAACGATTAATCGCGATTAATCGCATACAAAATAAAAGTTTTTGTTTACATAATATATGTGTGTACACTGTGTATATTTATTATGTATATATAAAGACACACACATGCATGTATATATTTCAGAAAAATATGTTATGTTCATATATTAAATATATTTATTTATAATATAAATTATACAAATATAGAAATGTAAATATTTTCAAAATATATTCTGTATGTGTGTATTTATATATGCATAATAAATATACACAGTGTACACACATATATTATGTAAACAAAAACTTTTATTTTGTATGCGATTAATCGCGATTAATCGTTTGACAGCACTAATTTTAATTTTAAAGTTTTAGTAATTTTGTTACATTTGTCATTTTTTAAAAAATATTTATATATAGATTGTATTAATTGTGTTATTAATTAATTAGTTATTTCAGTTATAGTTATTTATTTAAACTAAATGAAAATGAGAAATGTTGTTTTGGCAACTATCTGAAATAAAATAAGTTTACGTTTTTTGTATTTAATTTGATTTCAGCTAAAGTTTATTTTATTTCAAGTAAAAAAAAATTTTTTTAATGGTTTTAGTTTTACTCGCTCACTAATGTCTTTTTATTTTTCTATCGTATACATTGTTATGAATGGTATTGGTTAATGCCGAATGCATCCCAGCTGTTATAATTAATGCAGACTGAAAAAAAACCTTAATTGATTCTTTAATGTAACGCTACTAATGTGAGTCATCTGGGCATCTATATGGTGTTTTAATAAATTATTTGTTTATAATTTGTCTTAACGTTAATAATTTTAAGTTTACAGATCTGTCTCACAGTGTTGCTTTAGTATCATTAATATACTTTTATAGCTTTTATACATTTTTTTGATTAATTTGTATTTTTATATTTGATTTTATTTTTATTGTATTATAATTGTATTATATTTTAAAGTATAGTTTTACAGTTTTAGTTATTATAGTACTTAAAGTTAACCTAAATGAAATTAAGAAATGTTGCCTTGGCAACTAGCTGAAATAAAATATTTTTTTATATTTTATTTTATTTTATTTCAATTCAAATTTATTTTGATTCAAGTAACAAAAGTGTTTTTATGGTTTTAGTTTTGGTTAGCTATAATAACCCTGCTGTGAAATTATCTGGTTTTGCTTGTGTCTAACTTTATTGTTCTCTCTCTCTCTGTGCGTGTGTTTGTGTGTGTGTGTGTGCGTGCGTGATTGTGTGTGTGTGTGTCTGTGTGAATTTTTTTGTTGTTTTTTTGTTTACAAATGTCCCTTGATTGGAAGGAGTTCAAATGTTCTGTATATTTGAAAGCCTATTTTGGGAGCTTGGAGCCTTCTGGAAAAGAGCAACTCGGACATTTAGCAAAACATCTTCTGCGTTCAACAGAGAAATAAAGTTTAAAACAACATCAACTGACCAGACATGTGTGTGTGTGTGTGTGTGTGTGTGCGTGCGTGCGTTCGTGTGTGTGTGCGCGTGTGTGTGTGTGTGTGTGTGTGCGTGCGTGCGTTCGTGTGTGTGTGCGCGTGTGTGTGTGTGTGTGTGTGTGCGTGCGTGCGTTCGTGTGTGTGTGCGCGTGTGTGTGTGTGTGTGTGTGTGCGTGCGCAGATTTCTCGGACCGCATCAGTAAGAGTCGCAGGGTTGGCTATGAGTCTGGAGAGTTTGAACTTGTGAGTGATTCGCTCGTTCATCATGAACCGCTTCATGATTTGTTTAGTTTTATGGAGTCTCGGCGTTTATCCTGATTTATTTTCTCTGGTCCTGCAGTTAGCTGAGGGTTGTGGCGTGAAGGAAACTCCTCAGCAGAAGTATCAGCGACTGGTTAATGAGATTCACGAGCTCTGCCAGGATGTGGAACATATTCAGGTCAGAATATGTGAAATAAATGCTTTCTCTAGTTCATGATAGGTTAGAACAGCCACATTTGCTCATATTTACCAAGGGTGCCAATATTAGTGCAGGGCACTGTATTTTATATTGTAATCATATTTCATAATTTTTTTACTGTGTTTTGATCAAATAAATGCAGCCTTGATGAGAATAAAAGACATTTTTCAAAAACATTGAAAAGTCAAAAACAATGTTTATTGCTATGCATTGTTATGTTGGTGCATAAGAATGTGAATTATTAAACATAATATATATTTTTCATTTAGTGAAAAATGGTGCAAAAACATTTCATCTATTTTTCTATTGTGGTTCTTCTAAGTGAAGAAAAGCACCTTTTTAAGACATTCAGATCAAATATGTACAGTTTTAAGTCATTCAAATATTGAATATTGTCAAAATATATTGAAATTTTATCAATAATTAAAAAAATATATACATTTTATAAATAAATATCAAAGGATTTTGTTGGAGTAATGTCTGCTGAAATTTCAGCTTTGCATCACAGGAATAAATTATATTTTAACATATAATTTCATAATTTTTTTACTGTGTTTTGATCCAATAAATGCAGCCTTGATGAGAATAAAAGACATTTTTCAAAAACATTAAAAAGTCAAAAACAATGTTTATTGCTATGCATTGTTATGTTGGTGCATAAGAATGTGAATTATTAAACATAATATATATTTTTCATTTAGTGAAAAATGGTGCAAAAACATTTCAACTAGATTTCTATTGTGGTTCTTCTAAGTGAAGAAAAGCACCTTTTTAAGACATTCAGATCAAATATGTACAGTTTTAAGTCATTCAAATATTGAATATTGTCAAAATATATTGAAATTTTATCAATAATTAAAAAAATATATACATTTTATAAATAAATATCAAAGGATTTTGTTGGAGTAATGTCTGCTGAAATTTCAGCTTTGCATCACAGGAATAAATTATATTTTAACATATATTAACAGAAAACAGTTGTTTTAAATTGTAATAATATTTCACAATTTGTACTGTATCTTGGATTAAATAAATGCAGCCTTGGTGAGCAGAAGAGACTTCTTTCAATAACATTAAAACATCTTACCAACCTCAACATTTTGAACAGTACTGTAAATCCTAGTGTACTCAAGTCTTAAAGCCTGGTTCACTGTGCTGCTTATTCTGATTAAAAACAGTCCACTTAGACTCTCGGACATGCATTGAACAAGCACGTTTTGTGTTTTATGTGACGCTGATGTACAGTCAAACCAAAAATTATTCAGACAGCAGATATAATTTTTTATTTATTTATTTTTTTTACTAGTGGTTGCAGGACACTACAGTTCATTTATGTAAGTGAGGATAGCCAAATAAAGTCAACTGTGATATATTATACACAAAACTTCTTCATACAGTGGACTACCAGTAAAATTGAATTCACCAAAAATTATTCAGACACTTTGACCATGTTTTGCTTAAGTGTTTTTATTTAATTGCTAATGCAACCTTTTTACACCACAGACTGAACTAAATTAAGCATTGCTTGGTTGAGCTAAATTGTGAGCCTGGAGCACAGAAGCAGTGTTAAGTCGCTGGGGTATATTTGAAGCAATAGCCAACAATACATTGTATGGGTCAAAATTATACATTTTTCTTTAATGCTAAAAATCATTAGGATATTAAGTAAAGATCATGTTCCATGAAGATATTTTGTAAATTTCCTACCGTAAATATATCAAAACTTAATTTTTGATTAGTAATATGCACTGCTAAGAACTTCATTTGAACAACTTTAAAGATGATTTTCTCAATATTTAGATTTTTTTGCACCCTCAGATTCCAGATATTCAAATAGTTGCATCTCAGCCAAATATTGTCCTATCCTAACAAACCATACATCAATGGAAATATTATTAATTCAGCTTTCAGTTGATGCATAAATCTCAATTTCGAAAAATTTACCCTTATGGCTGGTTTTGTGCTCCAGGGTCACAATTGGTGATTGAAGGTGTCTGAATAGATTTTGGTTTGACTGTATGTTTTCTTGCAGGTCACGACTAAAGAGAGCAGCTCGGAGGAGCGTTTGACTCCGGTGGCTTTGGCTCAGCAGGCGGCGCAGCTCAAACAGCAGCTGGTTTCAGCTCATCTGGACTCTCTGCTCGGACCCAACGCTCACATCAACCTCACCGACCCTGACGGAGCGCTCGCCAAGTGAGTCAGACTTCTGCTTCAGATGTTCAGAGATGCATTTAGACTCCCTGAGCTACAAATACAACACAGAACATGATGCAAGTGAAGTAGTGTCAGTTGTTTTTAACCTCTTGAGACCTGGCAAAACATTTTAGGAAAAAATTTGTGTTTTTTCATGTCATTACGTTGTTTAGAGCATTAAAAAAAAAAAAAAAATTTTTTTCATAAGTTATGCTACATTCTTGGACATCGGGACTCAATTTAAAAAAAAAAAAA